TCAGCCGGCTGACAGGGCCGTGACCCGGCTGACAGGCTCACTGACCGGTCACGTGACACATCACGTGACCGAGACAAGACTTTTTTATATCGCAGATCCAAAAACCCATAGGACATTTCTCCCTCGACGGATCCTGCCGGCCGGGCCCGTCAGTAGACGACTGCAGCCTTCAGCCCCGCCTCAGACCCCCTGGAGGCCCGCCAGGAGGCTAAGTGTCCGGAGATTGGCCGGGGGCCTGATCTCTCCGGGCGGCCGTGACCGGTCAGCGGACCGTGGAGGCCCGCCAGGAGGCTAAGTGTCCGGAGATTGGCCGGGGGCCTGATCTCTCCGGGCGGCCGTGACCGGTCAGCGGACCGTGTCAGCAGGCCCGTGACATGTCAGCCGGCTGACAGGGGCCGTGACCCGGCTGACAGGCTTACCTGACCGGTCACGTGACACATCACGTGACCGAGACAAGACTTTTTTATATCGCAGATCCAAAAACCCATAGGACATTTCTCCCAGGGGGAAGAAAACCTCCCTTGACCCCCCTGTTTCTCGACGGATCCTGCCGGCCGGGCCCGTCAGTAGACCGACTGCAGCCTTCAGCCCCGCCTCAGACCCCCTGGAGGCCCGCCAGGAGGCTAAGTGTCCGGAGATTGGCCGGGGGCCTGATCTCTCCGGGCGGCCGTGACCGGTCAGCGGACCGTGTCAGCAGGCCCGTGACATGTCAGCCGGCTGACAGGGGCCGTGACCCGGCTGACAGGCTCACCTGACCGGTCACGTGACACATCACGTGACCGAGACAAGACTTTTTTATATCGCAGATCCAAAAACCCATAGGACATTTCTCCCAGGGGGAAGAAAACCTCCCTTGACCCCCCTGTTTCTCGACGGATCCTGCCGGCCGGGCCCGTCAGTAGACCGACTGCAGCCTTCAGCCCCGCCTCAGACCCCCTGGAGGCCCGCCAGGAGGCTAAGTGTCCGGAGATTGGCCGGGGGCCTGATCTCTCCGGGCGGCCGTGACCGGTCAGCGGACCGTGTCAGCAGGCCCGTGACATGTCAGCCGGCTGACAGGGGCCGTGACCCGGCT